GCTCTTGGCTTTTCCCAAAGGCTTTGCACCTGGGTCCCTCTGGTCTGGCTCTCTGTGGGCCTCCCGAACCTGTTGGGGGACCAGGGGACTTAACCAAGTTTTAGTCTAGAGGGTGGTGGAACAGTGACTCCTGGGGAGGAAACCTACCCCTACTCTACCCCACATCAGAGTGACAAAGCAGTGACTAGAGGAACGTGGCCTGGTCCTTCCCTGGGACCTTTCACTCATGAGGAGAATTTCTGTCTGTTTAGAGGCAGATGGTTTAGATCTGAGTGAAATGGTTTTAGCTCAAAAGTGTCAAGTAGCAGCCACTTACAGAGCTGTGGAGAAATACTGCGAAGCCATGTCCTGACTCAACAGGGGAAAGGGAAAGGGAACCATGATCTATTAGTGATGTCTGCCATGACAGTAGGCTTGGTAGATGGTGGCAAACATGCTATGTATTAAGTCATTCCTGGATTAGAACAGTTTCCCAGAGTTCTTCAGTCCATAACACACCTGAGAGGGGCTGGGGTATGTGGCAGGGACAAAGGCAGTTGTTTCGCATTCCTCAGTACTCCCTTGGCCATTTTACTGGCTCAGTCTTCCCTCTTCTGTGGCCTGCCTGCAGTCGCATTACATATAACGCTCATATGCACTCATGCCTGTGTACATAACCAGCCTTTCTAATGCCTCTCCCCTGGAGCAAGGAATCACAGGCTATAGCCCATCCACTCTTGCTGCAGTCAAGGTGACCTTGTAGGCCTCAGCCTCTCTTTTCCAGATCCTTTCCCTCCTCCCCCTCCCTAAAGGGGCCCCCCCACCCCTCCTCGCAGGCTGGTCCTCAAGACTGCCCTAGAAAGGCTCAGTTATCAAGACCCTGACGTGGCACCAGCCATGATTCGGCCCCCAGCGCTACTTGTGTCTTAGTTCCTGCCCTGTCCTTTGGAGCCAGATTGTATCCCTTGTAGGTGGTGCTTCAAACACTGGGGAGTGGATACTAGAGGCTCAGAGGGTGGAGGGCCTTCCTCGGGGGCAGACCATGTGAGGGCAAGGAAGCAGCTGGTGGCAGCCCCAGGATGACTTCCCAGTGCCTCGAACTGGCCAGATCCTGCTGACCTGAGAGCCCTCACAGCCCTAGGACTCTCAGATTTTCATTCTGCACATTCTGCCAGGAGCTGTGCAGTGTCCAGGTTCAGGCTAGCCCAAACCCAGTGCCGTGGTGCCCTCTGCTGCTCAGAACACCGCACTGCCTGCCAGCTGGCAGGGGAAGGGTCTCCATGCTGTTCTGATGAAACTTTCCTAACTTCCATCTACCTCAGGGAGGAAATCCCTGCCCCTTCCCATTTGTCCCAGAACTCAGAAGACTCAGTAACACCTGTCTCCTGTCCACCTGCCCCTACTCTTTTCTCTGTGCGCCTCCAGGAGTCCCCACTCAGCCAGGAACACTCAGCTGACCCCAAAGTCCTTGGCCGCATATAAAAGCCCAATACGAGTTAACTGCTCAGACACTTACGCCAGACAGGCAGGTGGCAGAGTGGAGAAGGACACAGGCTCAGGAGTCAGACTTGGAGTTGAAGTCCTGCACCTCAGATTGGTGACTGTAACCCAGAGCCACACACATAACCTCACTAAAAGACCATTTTCCTTCTCTGTCGGTTATAGTACAACGGAGATGAAATGGCCCACAGAGTACCTGGTACACAGGAGGTGCTCAGTGAATGTTAGACCTTTATGAGTTCAGGCATTTGGCAACCCCAAGCCCACATAGGCCACACCCTCATCAGAGCCCCCCAAGAACTCCCTTCTCTGGCAGGGCTGAGGGGACAGTGCAGCCTTTTACTCCCGGACCACTCCTGGGGTGTCCCAGCTCAGAAGGTGAGCTGGGGTGCCACCGCCCTTTCCCTGGCCAGGAGCCCTGTTTCCTGACCAGAGCTTTATTCTCTGCCCACAGGCGGAAATGTGGATGGAAAGTTCAGTGTTGGCTACCGTGATGCCACTGTGAGAACAGTGGTGAACCTGGACCGAGAGACCACGGCCTCGTACATGCTCATCCTGGAGGCCATCGGTAAGCACCAGCCCACTCACGGAGCTCACACGGAAGCTCACTCCTCTTCTAGGAGCCAGGCCTTGATCAGAGGCTCCACCCTGATGCCAGTGGGGAAAGGGCAACCAGACCCTCAAAATATTATGGCATTTGCCAGGTGTGGGGCTCAGGGCGGTGCTACATGCAAGATGCTAAGGTGGTAGGGCAGGGGTATGTGGGAGCCAGATGGGAGACCAGCATGTAGACAAACCACTGTGAAGCAGGAGAACAAAGCAGAAAGGGAGAAGGGATGGCTCAAGCGTAGCTGGGCACAAAGGGTGGTGGAAACAAGGGAAGGGGGTAATCAAGGCAGACTTCTTAGAAGAAGTGGCATCTGGGGGTACCTTTGGATTAGTTAGGACTCATGGTTGCAAATGTTAAAATAAACTGACTTCAGCAGCGTGGGCTTACAAAACCAGTCCCTGGGGAGATGGTACCTCAAGTATGACTGGGGCTCAGGTGATGCCACCAGGCCTCAGTCTCCCTGCGTTGGCTGGCTCTGCCTCCTGTATGTCGGCTGCATCTTCTGGCTCACATGGTGACAGACTGTTACTGCAGCCCCAGCCTTAATCTGGATTCAAGTGCAGCGGTAGGGAACCAGCACTTGTGTCTTTCCCAGCCGCCCCAGCTGAAGCCCTCAGATGAGCTCTGTTTAGTTTCATCTGCCCAGCACCTGTTCCTGACCCCCCTCATTATGGTCAAGAGGGGATGAGATATAATGGTTAGTTGGGCCTAAATCACATACCTGTCCCTGGAGCTGGGGGGCTGTCAGACCTTCCTGGAACCCCAGGCCTCAGAGTCAGGAAGGGAGGGTTCTCAGAGAGACCTTTAGGGCACAGACTTGCCTAAGAGAGCAGGACAGTGCTGATGGGCAGAAACAAGGCACGCCCACCGCTGCCTGGAAGGCCAAGTTGGCTTTCAGTACATGGAGAAACAGGGAGGGCATTCCAGGCCCGGAGGTCGTAAAGAGCTCCGTGTCTGTGCGCGGCAGCAGCTGGCCCACGCAGTGGTGTACCTTGGGGAAGTGGGGCTGTTATCAGGTAGGGCCGGCTTGTGGAGGCCTCGACATTGGGCTGGAAGTTTGGCCTTTGGTTTCCAGCAGCAGGGAGCCCTTGAGGACTCCAGATGGGAAGAAGGGTGTGATGAGGCCTGTGTCCCTCAGATGCCTCTAGTCCTCCCAGGAGCACCCAGTTCAGTGTCTGCAGTGAGCTCTGGATGAGATGGAATGAGCTGTCTGTGCCTCACTCTCTCCGGCCAGCAGTCCCTCCCCAGCCTACCCACACCTGCATGCATCCGCCCCTGCCCTGCCCTCCTCCCATCCTGGGGCGGCCATACCAGCCTCTGGAGACCCAGCATCCCCCCACCCCCAAGTCCAGTCTTTTCATGAGCACTGGCTAGGGGGAGGAGAGGGCTCAGGCTTGGACCTTTTATGGGGCCTGCCAGCCCACACTGTCCCCAGCCATGGCAAGTAAGCAGACCCCCAGGGCGGTGGGAGGCTGGTCCTGGTGAGGAGCTCAGGACGGCAAGGTAACCTACCTCGGGATAAGTGACTGCACCCCAGCATGTGGTCAGCTGGCCTGGGGAAGAAGGACGGGGTCACCCTGGTCTTAGCCTCCTCCCTGGGGTGACCGCCCTTACCTGGATATACAGCTTATGCTGGGCGCAAGCTCCTTCCCCCAGGGAGGGCAAGCCAGCACCTGCCCCTGGGGCCGAGCCACTTCCCCTGCCCTGGGAGAGTCCTGCAGGGAACTGAAGGGGCACAACCCCCGGATACCTTAGGCTTAGAAATCTCGTAGGGCCCACGTCCCTGAATACAGAGGCCGAGTCGGTCCTGCAGGTGTGCCTGTCTGACCCATCTCGTGTTTTGTAACGAATGACAATTAGTTGTGAACATTTAAAAAGCAAGAGATTTTATTTAAAAGCTCAGCTGTTCAGTTTCTCCTGAGAAATCAGAACATCTAGTGTCACGGGGCCCGCATTCTGCCTGTCCACTGTGGATAGGAGCAGAGGACAGCTGCCCCTGGAGGTGGGCACACCCAGGTGTGCACCCACAGACCTTACCCCCCGGCCCCAACAGCAGTCAGGTGTGTCATCTCAGCACCTGTATCTGCTTCCTAGGGCCACTGTAACAAATTACCAGACTTAGTGGCTTTATTCTCTCATGGCTCTGGGATCCAGAAGTTCAAAAATAAGGTGTTGGTGGGATCACATTCCCTCTGAAGTCTCCAGGGGAGAATCCTTGATGGTCCCAGTTTCTTATGGCCCTAAGGGTTCCTTGGCTTGTGGCTGCAGAACTCTGGTCTCTGCCTCCAGCTTAACAGGCCTTCTCCTCTGTCTATCCAGTCTCCCTCTGCCTTTCTCTCGTAAGAACCCTGGGCTTTGGGTTTACAGCCCAGCCAGATAGATAGTCCAGAATGTCTCATCTCAAGATCCTTAATTACGTCTTCAAAGACCCTTTTCCCCCATAAGGTTACATGTACAGTTTCCCAGGGATTTGACATGGATGTATCTTTGGGGGGCCTCTGTTCAATCCATTTCATGCCTCAGTTACCTCCTCTGTAAAATGGGGATGATAATAATAGCACCTGCTTTGCAGGCTTATTGTGGGGATTGAATGAGTTTAGAATAGCCCCTGGGACATATTAGACATGGTTAGTGTTATTCCTAATCTAAAGAGAAAAAGAGCCACCTCTCAAAGTCCAGAGCATGTGGGGAAACGGGCACATCTCTGGCAGGTGTCTGGGAAGGTGCCCCTCAGGCAGCTGCTAACAAGTCATCCTCCATGTCCCACAGACAACGGCCCCGTGGGCAAGCGGCGCACAGGTACAGCCACTGTGTTCATCACCATCCTGGATGTGAATGACAACCGGCCCATCTTTCTGCAGAGCAGCTACGAGGCCAGCGTCCCCGAGGACATCTCTGAGGGCCACAGGATCATGCAGGCAGGTGGCAGGTGGGGGGCGGGCAGGGCCACACTCAGCTCAGTGCACACGCTCAAGGTCATCATGGCAGGGCAGGATGGAAACAGGAGAGGGTCCAGCTGCTGCTTCAGAGGTACCAGTACCGTGGCAAAAGGGGGACCTAGGCTCCCTCCTCCCTCCTGGAGAGAGTAAGCCCCCAGCTTGTGTAGCCAAAGATGGGCCCTTGCTTCCCCAAAACCAGAAGGAAGGCCTTGGTCTTCCTCCCCTCCCACCCCCACAGCCCTCTCCCCCTCCCCTACTGCACCCAGAAGGGCCTTTCAGAGCAGGGAGGAGATGGAGATGTCACATTTCCCAGAAAGGAGTTGAGGAGAGAGAGCCAGGGCCCAGCAAGGCCCAGAACAGAGCTGCTTTCACAGGGCTCTTGGCCGAAATTCCCCTCCTGGGAAATAAACAGGCACAAACAGAAAGGATTCCTTTACCCCGGAGAAGGAGTGACAGCTATGGGGCTCAAGGGAGGAAGGGGAGGACCTGAAAAGGAGGCTCGGGTGCCCTCCCCAGCCCTCCCTGGAGGCCTCAGTTGCTGGGTGGGGAGGGCGGCCGGGCTAGAATTATGCTGTTCACCAGCTGCGGGGTTTCCGACTTGGAAGCTGAGCCAAACACAGCAAATCTGGGCCTGCCTGCTGGGGCCGGCTCCCAGGCTTGGGAGGGACGGAAGACTGGAAGGCCAGGAGCAGGGCAAGCGAGGAGCTGGGAGCAGAGGGCCGACTCCTAGAGGCGCTTAAGGGTCCAGGAAGCCATGGGTGTTGCCACAGTCTAGGGGCTGGTTTCAGAAAGATGTTCTCTCCCTCTGAGCCTCAGCTCCTGGGGGCTTGGGGAACACCCTCCCCCCACCAAGCTGGGGGCCTCACCTCTTTCCTAGCCTAACACCTAATACCTGCCACCCCCAGCTCACACAGGTCTCCTAGGACCAACCTGGGGATGTAGCTGGGGTATGGCAGAACCTGAGAGCCCGTCGCCCTCCCCAGCTTTCCTTCTCGTTCAGGCCTGGGGCAGCCTTACCCCCAGGACACGCTGGCCAGTGGGTGACAGAGGTGAATGACCGCAGGTAGAACTTAGCCTGGGATGTCTCAGGGAGACCTGGGGGCACAAACCAGGAAGAGGTTAATAAGCTGGAAGGGAGGGTGGAGCAGAATGCTGCCGGAGAGGGCCTGCCCCGCTTCCTAAACCCCAAGAGTTGGTTTCTGTTTACACAACACTACTCAGACTGAAATCCTAGAGCCTGTGAGTAATACAGAGCAGCCCTGATTCTCCCCATTTCTCGGGGAGAAATGCAGGCACTGGTGATTTCTCCAAGGCCCTGGAAGTTTCTGGTCAAGATGGACTCACTGTTTGATATCAGACTGACCCAGAAGGAAGGCTCAGTGGGTCTGTCCAGCAGCTTCTCTGTAGGAGCGTCCAAGGGAAGAAAAGGTTCCCCCAGGACTAGGCTGGACCACCCTTCACTCAGTAAGCAGAGGCCCCACACTTCTGTGCCCGGAGCTGGGAGCAGAGTGAGGGGCTGGAAACAGTCTCGCTCTGTGGGAGCTTGCAGGCTTGTAGGAAGGATGTGACGCAGACAGGGATGATCCACACCGCCAAGAGGAAGTGATCCCTGTGCTCCCTTGGCTTCAGCTAGAGAGCAAAGAGGGCTTCACAGAGGGTGTGCAAGTGAGGCGTGAGCTGAAGCCAGGGACAGACAGGTGTTTCAGTTTGCCTGGAGTCTTGGGTCAAGATGAAGCTAAGAGATTGCTGCCAGCTCCCAGTGAGTACCAAACACCAGATGAGGGAACTCCAGCTTTATCCAGCAATAGGAGTCAGGGAAGGTTTTGGAGCTGGGCAGTGGTGATACCGGGCTCACTCTTTGAGAAGATTTGGCTGGCTGCACTATGGGTTATAGCAGGGTGGGGTGGAGCAGCCCCACAGGGGGATACAAGGTGGCCCTGGCCAGCTAACTCTCTGGGTCAGGAGCTGGGCAGCTCAGACCCCTCTCTCCACTCTCCAAATTTGAGGCCCAGCTGAAGCATTGAGCACCAGCCTTGTGAGGAGACGTTGAGGGTTTGGGATTCTGAGGATCCCACCCCAGGGTGGGATTGCTTTGACAGTAGCCAGTCAGTGAAGCAGTTACCAAAAATACAGACAGCACACTCATGTGGTCCAAGCCTGATGTCCCACAGCTGTCCTGGAGAGGTCTGGACACCCCCCCTCCCCCGCTCAAAGGAAGACCACCTCCTTCCCTTGAACCGCTATGATATGTCCTCAGAGCCCAGACAGCATCCCCGCCAGCTGCTGGCAGTGCCTCCTCCCACTCTGACACGTTCCCAGTCCTGGCCTCTGCACAGATCTTCTTAACTCATTCTCAGCCCCTTCTTCATCCATCCTCGCATTGGTGCCAGAATGACTGCCAAGATGGTGATTGATGGATGGTGCTGACAGCCTCCTGCTTGACCCTCCTCCCTCCCAGCAGGCACCCAGGCATCTGATCCACCACAAGGGTGCTGGCTGCTCCTGTAGATGACAGATAGATGCTGGAAGTCCAAGGAGAGGAGGCCTTGGGTTCCTTTCTGCGTGGGGCACTGAGTTGGCACAGAGGACAGGACAGTCCCCTGCCCCAGTGTGTGCCCCACTTGGCCGGAGAGAGCCTTTGGCCCTTCAGCAACTCGCCGTGGAATCTGAGCTGAACTTTGGCACCTTGAGGGCAGGCAGGGCTTCTGTTGGGACGCAGGGGCACTGCTTCCTGGAGATGGTTTGTGCCTAATGTTAGAAGGTGGAGCTGGGGACCCCAGGTTTGTACTCCTCAGAGCCACGGGCCAAGGGTCCACATGGCTGCAGATGCTCAGTAATTGGTGCAGCAGTCTTCCAGCAGGCAGCACCTAGAGTCTACAGGGAGGAGGGTATTCTTCCAGGGGCCATCTCTGGAAAGGCCACAGGTCTGGGCACACAGGAAACCACAGATGATGAGCTGAGTGTGTGGCCCAGGTTATTGGAGCCACTGTCCTCCTTCAGCCTGCAGTACCAGGCTCCATCCAAGGCAGGAAGGTCTGCAGGTGGACCCTGGAGTAGGGGGACAGCCCCATCACATCTTGGTAGATTCCGTGCAGTCACAGTCGTGGTTGTCCTCGTGGCCCGGCAGGGGGCGCCGAGGGGCAGGCCTGCCGCGGCGGAAGCTGTGAAGGGAGCGGCGCAGCGAGCCCAGGCGTTTCCAGAGCCGGAGCTGGGGCTCACTGGGGCTCCCAGGGTGGTGGGGCATGCACTCGCGGGCCCGGCGGCGGCTTGGGTCCAGCGCAGCAGGCTTGCAGAGGGTCATGAACAGCAGACAAGTGGCCAGCAGAAGGAAGATGCAGGCCAGGGCAATGAGCACAGGGAGGGGGTCGACTGCCTCCGAGGGGCTCCCCGGAGTGACAGGAGCTGTGAGGAAGGCGAGGGGGCTGGGGCCCTCTGTGCTCATGGCTCCTGCAACAGGAATGGGACAGAAGCTCAGAGGCAAATCAGCTGGACTCAGGAAGGGGGAGGTAGGGGAACACTGATGGCGGCTGGGCACTGCCAAATGGCTGCAGAGAGCATTATGGTCATTTTACAGGTTAGAACAGTGAGGCCCAGAGAGGTAACATGTCTAAGGTCACATGGTGGGAAAGTAATGGGGCTGGGCCTGAACTCAGATCCTCTTTTCTGCTATACCCTCTGCCCACCAGCCACAGAGGAGATAGGAGGGTGATGCCTTCCGGCACTTTAAAGTCAATTGTCATGAATTACAATAGAGTCTTAGACCGGAAAACTTGGGTTCCAAGACCAGCTCCATCAATTACTCTGTGACCAGGAATGAGTTGTTGATTACAGGAAACTGCAGCAGGCAAGGACTCTAGTAATTATCTAACGCCAGTGGTCCAAACTGGGGGACCCACTGGTGTGTTCTGTTGGGTTCTTGCAAGGGGTGTAGAGGGGCCACCCAACCCCCATCCTCCTGAGCCCCCAGCCTCACCCCAGGCACTCACCAGCCGCCGCAGGACCTAACTCCCGGCTCTCTGTGCCCAGCCTCCTTCTGCCTGCAGCCTCGCTCTGAGCCCCGTGTGCCCCGAGTGCCCCGAGACTGAGAACATCCAGTGCACACACCCCACAACCCAGTCCCCACCACGCTCCTTCCAGCATTTCCAGACATATCATGACCCCTCCCAGCTCCCAGATGGAAACTTTGATGCCCATCTAGCTGCCCAGGGCCTCCGCCTCTCAGGCGTCAGGCCTAGAGACCGCTCTGGCCCAGCCATACGTGGGTTGTCCCTTGAATCTGAGCAGGGAGGAGGGATGGGTGTGCCCACCACTATCTCTCTGGGGAGAAAACTGACCGTCCCTCTATCCTACCCTGGGCA